TGGGTAGCTAATAATTTAAAGTGTGATGCTAATAAAACAGCTAATTAGAAACTACAATGCTAATAAGTAATCTTATTTTCGTAGTTTGTCTCTCTTGATCTTAATAGCATTATAATAATACAATATAGCATATATGGTCCCTGTAAACTACAATTTTTTTTAAAAAAAATGGTCACTATAATCATATTAGTTACATAAATGGTACCTACACATCATACATAGTTTAGCTAATTGTATCCAATGATGTGAATCATAGTTAGAAAAACTCAAAAGAAGTTTAAAATTTTCAATTAAAACATTATAGATTAAAGTCAATGTACATTGCTATAAACAAAATATGTTAAAAACCAAATATAATAGAAAGTACATATGGTAATACACAGTAAAAATAACTCTATTGTTTGTAATTAGATAGCTAATAATATAAAGTCTATTTCTATAACCAGCCAACTAATTAGAAACTACAATGATATGGTTGACCTGATTCACGGACATTCATCCATGATTTTATAGATGAATTCGTGAAATATTAAAAATAAAAATCATGTGGACACAACATGCCATCTCGATTCCTCATACACCAAAGGTTTTAATAGTGATTCCATTCCTATCGAATTCACATTCCATATGAAAGAACAATCAAACAACATTTGAAATATCATCTCATACATTTACAATAATATCATTTGTATTTTACTTATTTTATCATAATGAATCTAGTGTTGAGACAATCTTGATTCTGAGAAGGATGCTTAGTGATTACCCGATGGCAGAAGTATTCAAATGTCGCAGAAAAAAGATGCATTTAAACCGATGGAAGAACTTCAATGTTTGCTACCTTTTCTACCTTACCGATGAAAGATTTTTAATGGTGAAGAATGTTAAAATAATGAATGGCTGAGGTATATTAAAAAGAGGTAAGTGGTGAACGTTCAAATTTGTTATAAGATAACATATGCTGATTTATTATCTTATTTTGCTTAAATTCAGTAAAGTGCATTAAATCTGTGCTAATTTAATAGGATATTACAACTATTTCTAATTTAAATTTCCAATGTTCATGAAGGGATTTAAGATGCCATTGCTCATGCGAGTTCTAATAGGCTGACCAATTTAAAGGCATTCGGATTTATTGTTATTGATATTAATAGTTTCCAATGATATCCATAATTGATTCCTGAATTAAAATAGAAGTAGAAGTACAAACTCAATTTTTATTTCCTTTAAATTGCTTATTTGTAGGGATTCCAAATTTAATGATAATTTCTAGATATTAAATGGTGTACCAAAATTGAAACAAAATAAGGGCAAGATTGTAAAATCACTTTGAAAAATGATAGGATGTGGAAGTGCCACGTGGCATATTATTGAGTCATTTATTAGAATAGCAAAATATATATATATATATATATATATATATATATATATATATAATCAAATAGGATCGCTAACTTTTTTTATAATTTATAGGATCACTTATCCAATCCTCATTTTAGAGTTTATTTTCTATCGAATTATATGTAAATTGATCATTTTTAAATCTCTTTCTATATTGATATTCGAAAAAAAAAATCTACCATAATGTGCACCATGTGTACATTTTTGGTAAAAAAAACTCATGTTTTTAATTTATTTCAACAATCACCTTTTATATTAACATCTTAGACAATTAAGACATTTTAATTAAGACCTTATATATATATATATATATATATATATATATATATATATATATATATATATATATATATGGCACTTGCGATCCTTCCCTAAACTAAAGAATTTACTTACCTTGCCCCGGTATCATTTAGCTTGAGCCGGGAACTCCTGTTTACCTTGAGACAAGTATTCTTTATTATAGATATCACCGTTCAAGCGGAAGACTAATCAGACTTTCTCTCGTCTAAAGCATGAGTGAACGGTCGATTCTCTAAGAGAGGATTTGTTCACATCCGAGTCTGTCCAAGAGCTTGGGTAAGCATTCAAAGCAAAAGCAGTCTCCTTTCACGACCACTTTTCAGTATCAATGAGTGCTGCGGGAACAATAACCTTTTATGGTAGCCGACTTGATTGAATTTCCCTTAACGAGCTACGAATCTAATATGGTTACGGGCTTCCTGCTCTAAGAGTGGGTTCCTTGCCCCTGTCTCCCATTAAAGAAGAAGAAGCCGAGACTAACTTCATTTAGTTATGAAATATTTATATTCTGCCTTAACCATGCCAATCCTGTCAAAAAGATTATCCAACAGAAACTGATGATTTTTCTCGGATGTGAAGGCTTAGGCTTCCATTTATGTTTTAGGTTTCATTTCTTTTCTCCGCCAGGGTGCTCACTTCCTTCATGTTCCCTGAGCCAGCTTCAGTCTGCTTTGCTCCATCTAAGGCTAGGGCTAGGCACTTAATCTCCCCAACATTTCTTCTTCATGTGCACATTTGAAAACAACCTATTGGCTTCAGACTTTTCCTTCCTAGCTGCCCGGATCTGATGCACAAAAAGAGGCAATTTATACTATACGCAAAAGAGCACTTCGGATTCAGGCTAGGCTAGACTTTCTTGCCTTAGGTCAATCAGGTCTTTCTCTTCCCTTACTAATGTTATGTCAGAAAGATCGGTAAAGTCGAGAAGCATAGAGAGGCCTTTTAGAGCACAAGAGGCAGATTTTATTGGCTTGGTGGAAAGCAAAGTGAGGAGTGGAAAGGCGGCCAGAATTACCAGATGCTTGAGAAAGGATTGTAGTAAAGCCATTACTGTGGAGAATGAAGCCGGGAACGGCATAATTTGGCTGATCTGGAATATAACTATGACATTAACGAGATATATAAATCTGATCAGGCTAGATCTTGTAGCTGCTGGGGGAAGGAAGGAAAGTAGGGTTTCCTTCCAGGACCGGAGAAGGTAAAACACTGGGCGGGATGCCAGGTTTCGCCTACGCTACGGTTTCACAAGATTGAACCTTAGACAATTAAGACATTTTAATATATAGATATATATATATATATATATATATATATATATATATATATATATATATATAGAGAGAGAGAGAGAGAGAGAGAGAGAGAACGTTTTGAAAAAAAACATTTATGCATATATACACAAAATCAAATCTGCATGATTTTTCAACTTTTATTTTAGAGTTTATCTTTTATCGAAAAAAATAACTAAAAATATTAAAATTCATCATCTATTAACCTCTTTCCATATTGATATTTGAAAAAAAAAATTATGTAAAATGTGCACCATATGCACATATATACAAAATGAAAATATGCATATATGCACATTAATGTACAGATTAAAAACATCTTAATTAGTCACGACACTACTATAGAAGGTGATATTTTGAAGAAAAAAATACTCAAAACCAACGTTTTTCTACGTATGTGCATATGATGCACATTTTATGTTATATATATATATATATATATATATATATATATATATATATATATATATATATATATATATATATATATATATATATATATATCAGATATATGTATGGATAGAGGTTAAAAATGATGAATTTATATATATTTAGTTATTTTTTCCATAGAAAAAAAAAGCTTTAAGTAGCCTCCTGGTCTACATCCTCCGTGAAGCCGGGATGGAGCGATTTCTAGTTAATAATAAATACTAAATGTTAGGGGTCTTCACAGTTCGATTTGAAACCATGAAACCAACCAAACTGGGCTTCGATTTGGTTTTGTGGTTTCTATTTTTCTTTATCGTTTGCCTTGCGGCTCCAAACTTTCACAAGTGTAGTGAACGGTTTGGTTTGCGGTTTTATAATTTTACAATCGTATAAAAATGGACCGGACTGTTGGATTATGTTTATAAATCTAAGATTACTTTTTTTATATGTAATTGTATATAGTTTTATTATATATTAATTTTTATATATAAGTAATAAAACTTTAAATTCACTAACTTAATAACCTATGTCTTATAAACCAAACTTAGTAAATTATGTAGCCGAATCCTTTTGTCCCTCCACTCTAATAAGCAGCAACAAGAGTAAAAATCAAATACCTAATTTGGCAGATTTTGTGACTTTTTTAGCAGATTTTTTAGTATTTTGACATATTTAGTTTGATAGTTTTTTTTTTTCTTTCAAAATTAGTCTAATCGATCGACTCAAACGAGCTTAAAAATGTCAAACCGTGAAACCAAATCGAAGCCAAACCGTTACTAATGGTTCGGTTTTAATTGTCAATGGTCCAGCTTAGGTTTTCGATTGACAAAAACCGTTACCAAAAGTTTGGCTTCGTTTAAAACCGAAAAAACCGGACCACGAACACCACTACTAAAAGTTATAGGCATGATATTAGTATTTTGTTATATATATATATATATATATATATATATATATATATATATATATATATATATGTTATCGTATCTACCATTTTTTTTACAATCATTAAACAAATTAGATAAATGGATTTAATGAAAAATATTTCCTTTAAATGAGAGTAAAATGGTTATTTCAAATGAGGTTTCCGTTAAAATAAATATTAATGAAGAAAGTTATGTATCAAAAGTAAAAATCTTTGAAAAAAAATAATCATAGATTCCCTAAGCTTTTATTTAACCGTATGTGTCAAAGATATATATATTTCCTAAGCTAAAAGTTAACTAAATTAAACATGTACTTTTTTCCATGTATTCTACAAATCATCCCTTACAAAACTCTTAATGTAGTGTGATTTTGGTCTTCTATGAACGTATACTGTATATATACGTCTCAAAACACCATGTGATAAGAGACATCAATTAGCGGGTGAGTTACAAACATTAACATTGTAACAGGAAAAAAAAAATAGCAAACCAGTATTTCCATAATTTACAACATGGAAAGTACACATATATGACAATTACTAATATTACTAACGTCGGGGAGTGAATAACCGCTCGATGCTTTTCAGTCGTTCGATATCTTTAAGATGAAATAATGGTTGTGTAAACTCGCTATTTACAGTTTTTGAGCGGTTTTCTTCTACCTCCGAGAGCTTGCACGATTTGTAACATGTCGTTGATCAAGCTTCGCTTGACTGCTATCCCTCCGCCTTCCCCTGTAAATGCGTTCCCACGATGTCAAACTCCCGAAACTGCTTCCTTCTTCTATTCCTATATATACTTGATTCCACTCTTTTTTTTGGTTTCGCAATCGACAGCTTCCGCCACTGAAAGGCTTAAACGAATTTCGTCTTTTAGGTTTTAATCCATTTCTTGCGGTTTTGCAACCTGTACTCCGCTCCTTCTTTCTCCCCCGCGTTTGATCGGAAGATGAACTTCCCCTGTAGCACACGACTCCATCTTCAACTTCCAACAACTGTATAGCCCACTTATCCCATGTTTCCTCAATCGGTTTCTCCCCTCCTGAGGCCTATATAATGGAGGTTTATTGTCACTATAGCCCAACTATGTTTAGTATGTTGGTTTAAAAGGTCCTTCATGACATTTTTTTTTGCATTTTAGGGGTATTTACTTGTGTTTTACCGTTTTAAAAGGTCATTATAAAAAATATGAAGGGGTCACCCGGTGAACCCCTTCTTAATCTTCAATTTTGATATGTCACGTGGCATTTGGTCAACTGAAATGGTCCAAACTACCCCTGATGTTACTGCAATTCATCTCCTTAGATTGAGTTTGAAGACATTCGTTCCCGCAATTGAGCCCTGTCAAATCAAAATCAAAACAAAGAAAGACTATCAAAATCAAAACATATACATAGTGACAAAGAAAACATACAGAAGTGAGAGTCCTATAGGTTACCTCTGAGTCGAAAATTTTAAGGAAGAATCGTGATTTGGGAACAGAGAGCTTGGAGCTAAGAATCTAGGCAACTGCATCACTTCATTTCTTGTTTACATCATGATTCAAATCTGCGATGGACACCAGCTCACCATAAGTTGCAGGCTGCTCGCAACCTCCAAAAGCCATCGTCACAGATCCCTTGCTTAACTTTGACTCTAGAATCACTGCAATCGGTTTTCAAGTGATATTGTCATAAGTTCATAACCACTGCCTAATTCATTTCTACCCCAAGGAAATTGAAAATCACTCATGAACACTGAAACATTAACCACTCGAAAAAGCAAGACATGGATTGATTAGAAAGGGGGGTTTCTTTTCCTTGGATAATTTTTGAAGCTATAATAACATCAAGTCATCAAGTAACATTCTGAATCAAAGTAAGTACATAAAACACACACACATCCATAACAGAGAGAGAGGTGTACGTACGGCTTTGGGTTTGCCGATTAGGTCGACAACGGTAGAGGTGGCTTCGGAGAGGATGACGGAGGCATCAACGCCCTCCAACTCACGTTTGTTGACAGATTCAGGCACGACATCTTCCAAAAACTTTGTTGGCCGTGAGATTGCTTCTTCATCGTATTCCTTCTCCGGCTACTTTCTGGTGACTAGTATTGTGACAGTAAGTGCTTACTGTCCCGACAAACTCGCCAAAAACCATCGTCTAGTCTCAACTCTCGGTTCCCTTCCCCGTGGAACTCTCACATAACCCGTATGCGATACCAATTTTGCAAATCTAGTTTTGTTTGAGTCGAATTTGGTGTTTGATCCGTTGATTTTGGGGGAGGACAAAGATAGTAAGAAGATGTTGTCAAGGAATCGCCGGGAGGGAAGAGGCGTTCGTCATCACCATCGTTATTCAACTTTTGTGTTCAATGGTCAACAAAAGTAGAACAAAGAAAAACATGGGCCCTGAGGTTTTAAAAAGAAAAATGAAAAGCAACCGGTAAAACCAGCTTAAAATACAGTCTATCCCTTTATTAGCAGGTAAAACACAAGTACATACCCCTAAAATGAAAAAAAAAAGTCACAAGGGACCTTTTAAACCAATATACTAAACATCGTTGGACTATAATGACAATAACCCTATAATGGAACGGTGTGAAGGTAATATCATCAACAACCTCAATTTCTTCAAAAATTGATTTCGATTTCTCTGTAAATGCTTCAATTGCTTCTATTTCTTCCATCGTATGAACAATCATGGAGATGGCAAACAAAAAAGGCTTGAAGATGAACATCGCAATCATTCATCTTGATTATCGGAATCGGTATGCAATCATCACAAACACAAATATTGTGCAACTACATGGTTTTGCTTTACTTTTTTTGAATTTGGAATAACTGTTGTCACTTCAATTTTGATGATGTACGATTCGATTCAGTTTTCGATATCCGTCTGTGCAATGTTTTCTCGGTTTTCACAGAATTCTCAAGATGAGACATTGACAAATGACCAGGTTTAATCAAAAGCTCTTTTGGATCAAATATTTATGTTCTTAAAGTATTCCCTAACATACTGTCACATGTTTTGTTTTATGAATGTTTCTTTATTTTGCTACATTTAAAAATATTTGTAGTTTGTTCTTTCTCAGGAAAGAGAGACTTTAGTGAAAATATTTTCATGCCTACTCAGTCAATCACACCCGAGAAGAAAGTCAAATGCCATTATAAAGATCTTCCACATGTCTAATCCGTAAGTGGGGTTCTATTTCAGAGGTGACCTCCCTTCCCCTATCTCCACCCCATATACCAATATCACCTCTTTCTTCTCCCCCGAGTTCATGAAAAGTGTTGATTTTCAATTCAAGTTGCAGATTTAAATCTTGATTTTCATTCAAGATTCAGTTTAGAACACCAAACAATTTTCACTTCCCAGTTTCTTTATACGCCATCTATTTTCTCTGTATAAGATTTTGTTCCTCCTTTAATCATTGGGGATTTTTGTTTAATGTTTTTGTTTGCTTTTGTTGATGTGTAATTTGTGTTTCAAATGTTTATTAACCCTTCTTGAATGAAGTAAATTTTCGTTTTTAAGGTTAATAGATTCCAACAATTACAGGTGGTTTGATTTAAACAATCATGCATGAGGAACAATAGGCTTGGGATTTTTTATGCTATTTGGATACCTGATAGAGTAATGTCACTTGGTATGGCTGATTTCTTTTCTTCTTGATTTTGTTTATAATCAATCTTTTTAATTTTCTTTGGGTTTTAAAAACACTTTTCCTTTTTCAGATCACCGTTGCTAGCCTCACTGGTGTTGGGTTTTAGTTCAAAAATAGTTTCATAAACTTTAAAAATATGGAAACGGAAGACTTTAAGTTTTGAAATAACATAAACATTTTATACCCACCAAGGATCTTCTTGCAAGTTATAGAAATATTAAACACCAACCAAATGAATGATGAAGAAATAACAACCTTTGTAGTTCTTTGGGTCCTCTTGGGAGGCTTGGAAGTTGATGAAGAATGTGGAACCTTTGAGACACCAACAATGACTCAACTTGATGTAGATGCTAGTCCAAAACTCTTAAACCCTTAAGCTTTAAGTTCATAACCAATATGAACTTAAACAGGGCTTGAAGGTGCAAGTATTCTTCAAGTTTTCTAACCAAAACTAGAGAGAGTGAGAGAGAGGATGCAAGTTTCGGATTTTGCATAAGGGAAGGAATGAACACCCTTAGCCAATTGCAAGCCTCTTATTTATATGCAAAAAGTGAAGGTATTAACCATTAGTCCTTAGCACTTTAAGCAAACTTGTCCCCATTGTCATAAACATGTCTCACATGCATGATTAAACAAGTCATACACTTCTTATTTTTATGCAAATCCCGAAAATTGCATAAAGAAGAAGAGTTTGTTTATATTTTATAAACTCAAAGTTTATAAGATATAAACTTTGTCTTTTCCTAAAAAACAAAAAGCTTAACTAGTCCAAAATGTTGTACATGACTTAATAAATCATACCATATGATATATTATGTTACTTGCTAATGAAAATTATTATTTCCATGAAATAAATAATTTCCAATTTAGTTATAAGAGTTTTATTGAATATTTATTAAAATTAATTTCTAATAAATAATCAATTGTATCAAGTTGTTGTTAGTGTGACCCATTAGTATCATATGTTATTTAGCAATATCATTTTAATATGACTCTTGAGCATACTAGATCTTTCAATCTCCCACTTGCGCAAGACTCATATTAGATTGATATAGACAGTGGTGAACGTCTAGCAATATTTCACTGCCCCTAAGACCATATGACTATTTGTGCCATTCTATCAACGCCCAATTCCCAAAAAGCTCAAAGCTACAATTGGTGTATAAGGTAAGTTTATCAATTATCCATTTGCTACAGACATCATGTTGAACATCAGATTCAGATCGGGTTCAATCTTATTAGTTGTTCAACTTTTGGTAAGGCGCCTTATATGTCTAACTCTCAACACATATGAGGAACAAATCTCATATTTACTACATAAGCCTCTTGCATAGTTCACACCATACCTGAAAATGGCATTTATAACTACACGGTTAAGGAACAACATTTAACCATTATCAAAGCATAGTACTCCCCACACTTAAGTCCCACTATGTATCTCAGGTGTTAAGGATACAAAGATAGTACCTTTAATCAAGTATCATTCATGATAGCGATCCATGAGATGATCTTGATGCGGGTCAGTTCAATACTAGTTCTCTAATAAGTACCTATGAAACTTGGTTACAACCACTTGCCTACTTTCATCTAGTGAGAGTCAACCAATCCAATTCATATTAGTCTTACTTTATAATTGCTCCCACAATTATAACCGACTAAGAACTTTTAGAATAATAACATTATTCATGGATTAAACATGTTAATATAGAACACAACAAGTATTAATGTGATGACTATATCCCAATATATCATAACAATATCTAATATTTGTTGTTATAATGTTCAAATATCCAAATACCAAATCCAAATCAAAATCAATTTCTAGAATAATAAAGTTTTATAGCTGAAGTGTGACCATTCATACTTAGCTCAAAAGAATGACTTTATTAATGGATCTGTCAAAATTTAATTTGTGTGAATTCTATGAATATTATCATCTCCATACTTAACTTTACTCTAGGTATAGTTAAATATCGTGGAGAATATGATTGGTGTTCTCTCGTGACATAGAGTCTTTTAGCTTGATTAAGTATACTCTCGAAGTGACATAGATTTCTATGTGGTCCTCGAATGGCAGAAATCAACATAGTTTTTCAATGATCTCATCCATCCAATCATATTTGAATTCAACTTCTAAAGTATTGTATTCTTATTTTTTAGTAGATTGTGTCATTATGTTTTGCTTGGACCTCATTCCAACAAAACTTACCTTTCATTCCATAATGAAGTAAAAATCCAATTATAATTCATAATTATTTATATTTGTTTAGAAATTAACATCTTGTGTAGCTCTTTCCATAAAGATTCTTTCTAAACTGATTGTCTCATATACATTCTCTTAGTTCTTCTAAAGTACTCTTAGAATGCTCTCTTAGTCATCCAGTAACTTAACCATGTATTCAATTAGTATCCAATGACCTGCTTACAGCATGATCAAATACTATGTCCTATGCATAATATGGCGTAAATTATGAATTCATTTTCCAAGCAAATATAATATAAATCATTTCATCTAGTTCAAACCTATGACATATGTACTTTTGAGGCTAGCTCAAAATGGTGTCATATGATAATGCCAAGAATTCTCCAAAATAATCTTGTGTCTTGATCACTTTCAAGATATTGTCAATATATGTATAAGGACATGAAACTTTTAACATTCAATTTATCTATCCCTTATAGATTTTACATTCAAAGAATGTATCTTCTCCTTCCTAAGTCTTTCATTTTAGAAACACTTTCCGAGTCAAAGTGAAAACGACCTTGCTTAGTCAGAATGTGCTTTCAAATGATTAAGTATGTCTCGTTCATACAAGATTAGGAATTTCACTATGCTCCCACTAGTTCTTAGTAAACACAGATGTTCTATTCATTTTGATATAAAACACACCTTGTTGATCTAATCATAGCTACCTGTGAAAAAGGTTTGATCACAATCAATGTCATGAGTATGATGAG